CGCGACGCCCGCGACGTCGCCCTTTGTGTCAGCGTCAGCGTCGACAAAAGCCGCCCGCTGCACGGCGCCGCCGCCGCCGCCGCCACCGCCGCCGCCGCCGCCGCTAATATCGCTGCGCTAGCGCGGGCGGACGGCTTCGACGCTAATGCTTTCAAGACATAACCGTTTTCTGTTTCTACACATCTTGCTGATATTTCTTTGCTGGACCTGGCGGCTCCGATGGCTTTTCTTATGTTAAAAATTTTCATTTCCACTAGGCAAGTTTATAGCAAATAGAAATTTTAACAATAATACACTTGCCAGATTCGTCCGCCTTTGGGAATTGAAAGTTCCATAAAAAGTCGATAGAAATATATTTTTTGAAATGTATCATTACAAAATTAATTTTAATTGTTGTGAATTTGATGAATGTGTTTCTTTTCATGTGATGTCGGGAAAACAGGGTAGTAATTAGTACAGTTTCATCTCTGTAGGATGCCTTATATCCGCCAAAAACATGTTATTCTAGAAATGTTTCAGAACATTTCAGAAGGATTCGGCTTAATTAAGTTCCAATTGATTCGTATTGTTGAGGGAAATCGGAACAACAAATTCGAATCACCTCTGTAAATGCTTTAAAAAGCAAAAATGCGTTTTAGTTTCTTAGAGAACTTTCTGTGAATGATCGAAAACGACCCGAAAAGTAATTGTCACCGAGACGCGTTGATTGATACTTTACTTATCCTGAAGAGTGGACGGGATGAAGATCTACTCATGAGGAATAAACGGAGCTACATGATTACTTCATGAATTAGAATATTGCATTTATTTGCTTAGACGTGTTAGCATGTAAAAATCGATTGTGTTCGAGTAAAGGGCGCTAAATCATAAAAGAGAGTTTGTGTAAAGATGTGAAGAAAATCCCCTGCCATAATTGTAAATCAAGACACTATTTTATCACGTTAATTTTAGTACATTTTAGTGGTAACTTTGTAATGTTATGGTAGATTGTAGATGTTATGGTGGATGTTATGGTGTTATGTAGTTTGTCTCACATTTAATGTCAATATTCATAAAAAATACTTAACTCTCTTTACTCCAATACCATCGAATTAACACTGCAAGACATTTTCCAATCCTTTTCGATCGTTTTTCTAATTTATAAATAATTTTTGATTCGAATAATTTTCGATTCGATCTTTTTTTGAAAATTCTTCAGGGTTTTCTTGTCTTCTCTGCATCTAAAAACATTGATAATATTGCTAACATTGCATGAACTCCGTGCATGAACGATAATAATCACGGCAATTCCTGGAACGATCAGGCAGGACAACGAACAGCCTGCAATAAGAATAAAGTGATAGATGAAATGTGTTGTAGTAAGATATATTAGATATGTGTCGCATCGGATTACGAATTTGCACTGTAAAACGAAGCTGTTACGAGCGTCTCCAGACACGGTTATGTGATGTCACACCTGATTCTGCGTAGACCAAGAGTAAATTAACACTGCACGTTGGGATGTCTACTTATTCAATCTAGAGCTCGACGGTCGACGAAGCGTCCCTAGTTTTACCTATTTAGTTTAGCCATTTTCTTTTTGCACCTAGTCCACCATTATCTTCATATTCATGCTCTTTTACTATCGTAACTCATAATTTAAATTGCCACTCAGTGGAAACTGGTTTGTCAAAACTTACATAAGTTGAAAATTAATAACATACTTCAGGTTGGTATATGTATCGCAAAATGCTGAATTATCTGTTCAGCCAATACAAAAAAGTAAAGGTTTTCCCAGAAATGTACGCAGTTTTACATCATATTCAGCACATGTACACTCCAAAACATGAAATGTTAAATTAATTTGAAAGTTTATAACAAAAAGTGATAATATTTTCTGTAATGAAGTGTGGGTGAAAAGTGTACAAATTTAAAAAAGATGAACCGAAACTGACATTGCAAATGGCTACGTAAGAAAATAATAATGGTGAAAATAAAATGTTTAAAAGTATTCCGTATTCATCATTCATATTTCATTATGTGATATTTGTGAGTGTTAAATATTTAATTAACATTAAATTGTTCTAAATTAAACGTTTAATTGTTAAGAACGGAACGAATCCCTTGAAAATTGCGCCACTCTTAAGTGTGAAATTTATCAGCATTTCCCCCAAGGATCTGCCATAGATAATGAGTTCCCCGTTGTTGTACTCCTTGACACGGTTGATACATAATAATATATGTAATAACAAATGTTACTGTGCACGTCGAATAGGGTGAAGGCTCGCCATACGTTGGGGTCATGTACGGGGTAGTGTGTGCACGATATGACAACCAAAAAGAGAAAGTAGGTCTCTATCGCCCCTTATCTTTAAGACGACCTTAGAATAAGTACACTAAAACAGCGTAAGCACTGCAGGAAAGTAATGGTCAGGAAGATTTCCTTTTTCGTAGCATACCAACTGGGTCTGGGATTGAAGTGACGAATTTCGCGAAATTTGATTCATCTTGACAGGACTTCGATGATATATAAAATTATCACATAATAAATAAAACAATATGTCAAAGGAATTTGAGCTAATATGTAGATAAAGAAGTCGTTTTTATTTACATTAACACTATTTAACGCCTTGATTGTATTCTTCAATAATATTATTTATAAATCATATTGTAGACAAATTTGTAAAAATGTATGGAAACGAGATAAGTATGCATACAATTTGTTCTCAATTAGATGTCCAAAAGCTTTCCTGAAATGAAAAGCTTATGTAAATTGAAAGTTGAGCAAACTGAGGCACACGTGTGTGTATACGAGTATATGTGAGTAATAAACAAAATTTACTTACAGCTTCGTGTAAACACAAAGATATGTTTCCCAGTGCGGCAATGTGACTGAGGTTGTAAAAAATACCACATGGAGTAAAGTGAGTCGTTGCCAGCGTAATGGTCCATTTACATCCATCTAGAGTGCTCGCGTGTACGCGTGAAAGAGGATCATAATTCTTCTGTTTGAATAATGTATTGAACTCAACGAGATGGAAATCTATACTGGCAATGAACCCGCCATTTGTAAAGCTATTTGAAAGGACAACCCTTGTGTTTCCTTTGGGCAACACTAGAACATGTGCGTAATTCGAAGTCCATGTGGCAAATATTGTATATTTAAAATATGTTGAGCCCAGTTTAATTTAAACATATCTAGAATGTTTTTTGTTCGTAGAACACCGGTAGAAATGGCTCAGGGTATCAACGGATATCACTGCAGTCCCTCATCGGGAGGTGTTAGGTTCGAATCCCGAAGGTGGGAGTATTTTTGACACTAGCTTGTCTGATACGTTGAATTCAGTCGCAGTCTGGAGTGGAGTTCTAGCGGCCGGCTGCTCTGATTGGTAGTTTTTCATGGTTTCTCCGATCAACACCTAGCGAATGCCGCAGTAGTGCCCTAACAAACGCCACGAACCGCGCGCGATCTTTCCAACCTTTTCCTTGTCCTGTCCTCACCCCCTGCTTACATGCACTACACTGCCACTCATGCAGGGAGACCGGTCGGGAGCTTAGAGCTTGTCCTGGCCGGGGCAGTGCCCCGCTGATGGGAGATACCTGCATATGGCAATCCCGGCTTGCCGACGGTAGATCGGCACCGGATTTACTTATCCGGGGGAACAAGATCGCCGCCAACTCACGAGCGAAACATGAACTACACTTACGGGAATAAACGGAGTAGTTGAATCACGGAATCACTAACAAACTATCATTGTTCGTAGTATAAACTATGTTTTCTATATTTCTCTATCTTAATAACACAAGCAAAATCAAAGTAAAGTATTTCCTCTACTTAGTCATGCATTAAATCTGTTTTATGTTTCAATACATCGATTATATTCATGCAGTTAAATGTCGTAGAAGAAGAGGGCATTTCACTGTCGCACACATACAAACACTACACAAAATTTCTGGAAGATGTAATTGTATCAAAGAACTGGTAGACTGAAGTGCATTTTGTCAACAGGAAACATGGTGGCCAGGAATGCAAAGTGCTTCAACTGGGAGCGCTGTATTTGCACACAATTTCTCTCTATTTAGTTGACGGTCGTTGTTTGCACAATATTTTGCAATATATTGCGTGAATTTTTATCATACTCGTACTATGTAACAACTGAATCAATGAAATCGGTAACAGAAGACAATTTCTTCAGTATAGTCATGGAAACTTGCGTTAATTTCATTAATCTCGGCAGTATAAACAACTATTTTATTACACCAAGAACTTGTTTTGGGGTTTTGATATTTTAAATATAAATAATAAAATATATTAGAACAAGAATAAGTAATAAAATTATATAAAATTATTCACGAAATAAAATACAAATTATTAGAATACTAATTACAATTTTAACGTGAAAATTTATAAATTGTGTATGACGTTTGGAGGGATGTAAAGCCAAATTTACTGACGCGAAGAAACAAATAAACCGTATCTAAATTCGTTCCCAGTATTTTCTACAGTTATGTGATATATGTTTACAATATAATGTATTTTATCTCAAAGCAATTGTGAAGGGATCCTTCAATACATATTCTTGCTCGTAATTTGTGACAAATGAGAATCAATGAACATGACAATTATTTAATCAGACTTATTGTCCCAACTGAATCAATGCAATAGGAAATTACGTAATCAGAACATACTGTGTCACAGGCTTAATGTAAACACCTCTCGACTCTGACGAGAGGGCTCTTGCGGTAACGCGGGCTCAATAACTCCAATTATAGCTGCTGTGACCATTTCCGAGCCTTTCCGAACAGGGTAATTGCTGCGTTTTGCGGATACTGCCTTTCTTTCGTTTATGGGCGAGTAAAACGAGTATGACGAGGGTTACCCAAAGCGACAAAAACGACTGCACTGCTACTTGAATTGCACCTTCAATGATTGAATGTCCGATATCAAAGTCCATGGAGTTATCATTGATACACCTTTTTTCTACATAATGTCCTTAGTCTTCTTTGTCTTTATAATTCTTTTAAAAATTCTTCTTTTCTTCTTCTTCTTCTTCTTCTTTTCCTTCTAGTGCTATCAAGAAAATAAGCAATAACGGGGAACATGTTTGGATTTTCTTGAAAAATATAATTATGAATGATGATTTGGATGATCATATGTGCTACGTGATCATTTGTCTCTCGCCTGCGATCAAATTGCAGATGACATTGCAACTATTTTGAACTCTTGAGCTACGTATAAGAAAAAAAGGAACATTTCTCATTCTGGTAAATAATGAAGTATTTCTTCACAGTTTTGTAGGCTGTTTTTATAACCATTTAAATGAGTTTTATTTACACAAGTTCCATGAAAAAATATATGGAAGCATTTGCTTTAGGAAATCTTACAAAAGTTCTGAAACCATTTAGTTAACTAATTTATTCCACATTATTTGGCTGTACAAAATCTCACTGAAGATGTCAAAATAATTTCTAAAATATGTTTGGGTAACCTTAAGAAACAATATATTATTTACTACATTATAGATTAATATTCGTTTCTCTATTTCTTCGGCGTGAAATAATATTGCTGTTGAAACCACCGAAATGTTACACTTGTGTTTGTAAGGTTTTCAAGTTAAGGGATAACACACCAAATACAACAATACTATAGATGCAGAGGAATGTGGAATTTAAGGTTGCATAGCTTATTGTAATTGTCGTACGCGTATGGCGTATTCTAGTAAGATTTGTATGCCATAAGAATCTTTCGTGACATCATACAACTTAGCGTCCATATGGAAAAGCGGACTCCACTTTCGAGTTCCCGGCAAGTTCTCGTTAAGAAAGGAGTAAGATTAAGTAAATTATAGTATGTGCCTGTCTGCAGGCTGCTTCCTCCACCCAAACTTTTCGTTACGACGCCATCAGGGCGCGGCGGAAGAAGCACGGCTAAACTCTGATTTGGAGCAGTTGAGTACGTTTCAGCTCAAGTTTCATCATCAGGAGGCTCTAATATTCAAATACAGTTGTCGATTAGGGCAATGTTCGTTATATCAAAATAAGAAATGTTACATCACAAATGGAAATAAATGCATCGTACTCGCATTGTATACGCAAGTGTTGCAAATTTTTTTCATACAACCAATAGATAGGGTTCGTAATTTTCTACGTGCAGACGACGTAGCCCAATGAAACATTTTAAAATTAGATTTAAGGGTAATTGTTATATTGTACTAAATGGAATTAATAAAACAATTATAGAACATGAGCGTGGAACTAAGTCCTTGAATTAAATGGAATAAACATGGCCGTGGTGCGTCGTATTGGAATAGGCATCGACCAATGAATCGCGAGTCCGCGTCGACGGAGCTTCTGGTCGACCAGATGTCTCAAGGAGCAGAGAGACTCGTACCAGCAAATCTCGGGCTTTCGAAAACATTATTGAGGAGAGAGCTCCCGTACGCAAACATTGTCGCGTTTTTTTCCCTGTTCAACGCCGGGGCGCGCGAGGCTTAAATAGTGTTTGCCCGCTCGGTCTATTTTGAGTGCGACCTGCCCTAGCACTTCGCAGCGCAAACACCCCACCCCCACCCCCACCCGCAGGCCCCACTGCTCCGGGCGTCCCGGGGACTGCCCCCAAAGGAACATTTCATTTCGCGACCCTCGCCCTCAACTCGGCAACCAGCGCACTGGTGGCTCCGCGCGCTTCAAGTGAATTCATCCAGCTGCTTCGCGATAGCATGGCGGTTTACGACTCAACTAAGATACTAACTACTACTAACTATATACTAATAATAATAATAATAATAATAAAATAAGAGAGAAGAAGAAGAAGAAGAAGAACAAGGACTAATCCAAAACTGTCAACAAAAAATGCATGTCTAAGAAACACAAATTCGACATTACAATACTGTCATCAAACGGCAGCTCTTTTACGCTAGCGAAACACTCACGCTCAGCAAGAAATATGAACTGGAAGAAATCAAAAAAGAAAAATCATTAGAAAAATACTCGGTGCGAGACTCACTCTCGGTGGATACAGGTTACAATCTATTGAGACAACTGAAAAATACTCGAACATAGAAGTCGACATCAGGAAAAGGCGACTGAAATTCTTCGGACACATAGACAGGCTACCAAATACACGTCTAACTAAAAGAATACTAAACTATATATCCTCACTTAAAAGTACAGCACCATGGATGAAAGAAACAAAAAAAAAAAACATGCGACACGCCGACATAACTGACACCTCAGACAAAAACACTTTCCGCAACAAAGTGAACAAATGGGAAGTCAAACCAGAACAACCAGAATCAAAACTCTACAGACCGAAATGGTCTGAAGAAAGAAAACTGGCATTCTCCAACAGAATGAAAGAACATTGGAAGAGTAAGAACTCCACAAAAACTAAGTAGAACTCCACAAAAACGAGTCAATTTTTGCTTAACGTTTTCCATTATTGGTAAAATATGCTAATAATAATAGTAATAATAATAATAATAATAATAATAATAATAAGAAGAAGAAGAAGAAGGAGAAGAGGAAGAAGAAAAAATTATTATCATAAGTGCAAACCAGAGCAAGTAGTTATCAATGATCGAGCTCGAATTCAGTGGGATAATATAATTATCACAGATCGAACAGTAGAAACAAACAGACCCGATATTGCTCTGTTTTATGCAATACATAAAACAATTATTACAATTACAAGAAAAATATTATTATAAGGGCAAACCAAAGCAAGTAATTATCAATGATCGAGATCGAATTCAGTAGGATAGTGTATAATCATCATTGATCGAAAAGTGGAAGCAAATAGACGACATATTGCTCTGTGTTATACAATACATAGAACATAATACATCATTGATGTTGCGCCCCCTACAGATGACAGGCTTGCAACAACCGTTGCCGAGAAAAGAGAGAAAATACCAACCCGTGGCTGTTGAATTGAAGGACATGTACGGATTGCGCGCAGTGGACGTGCTTCCAGTGGTGGTGGCAGCAAATAGATTGATCACCAAGCACGAGACCGCAAGGACAAGGAAATTAAAACTAACAGAGAAGCATTTGTAGACCATTTGAATTCTTAAGAAAACTGAATTATTCGAAACAGCAAATATTGTCCTTAAATTCTCAAGGCTAAATTGACGGATAAAAAAAACAACCAAGTTCTTGTTCCAGTTTACGTGCTAATCATTATTGCCATTGTCTCATGGGTGATTTTGAAAAACTCGGTATGAGTGAAGATCCAAAGAAAATGTAAAATACAATATAATAATAATAATAATAATAATAATAATAATAATAATAATAATAATAATAATAATAATAATAAGAAGAAGAAGAAGAAGAAGAAGAAGAAGAAGAAAAAGAAGAAGAAAGAATGGCAGACTCTGTTCATGGACAACGTGCTAGCTTACTGTGAGGCGGATCTGGGTTCGCTACCTCACCACCGGGGCAAAAATAAAGCTATAGCTTTCTATTCAAATCTCTGTTTGTATTGATGTGTGACGAAAGAAAAGCTCAGACACGTCAAGAATGCTGGATGGGGTGATGGGAATACGCCATGCTTGCCACGCCTATTACCCAAAAAGAGAGCCCATGTCTAGCAACCCAAAAGCTGGATTAATTCCACCCTAAAATACCAAATACATACAATAATAATAGTAATAGTCCCCCCCCCCCGGGCTAACATTCCCACGGGTGTAAAAACGAATTCAGCATGAAAATGCTGATTCCCCTCCCCATACCGTCCGTAAATATGCACTTACCCTCCGTAAATAACTTAGCCCCGGTGGGTTGCACGTTCTCATGGTCCCGAGATGGCCAATTCGCGACCAAAAAAATATAATAGTAATAAAATGTGAAAATCTTAGAAGTGTTAGTAGTTTATCAAAATATTATGAAGTACCATCAAGCACGCATATATCTCTGAATGAACATTTTAGTTAAAGCATAACCCCTCGAAAATGTCTGGATAGTCCGAGGAATTTTCCAATGATATTGGCTGCTATTTGTTGTACCTATAATATACCTCGCATCAGTCTTGCTCAAGAACCAACTTGATGGTGAGTCATAGGTGCAGATTATACTTTCCCGACATGCATGACCTCAAGATGTCAAGTAGACCTCAAGGGTGACCTGACCTGCCGAAAACTGCTTTGTTCCTAATAATTTCCACATGCGTCGACATGAATTTGAGTCCTTGTTCCAGACGTGAAACGTGCTATTTTCATCCTTGAACGGTGTTTCACAGATTTAACAAAGAAACAACTTACCACAAAGTGACGTGATAGAGCTGCTTTCTTCGTGCACGAATTTGCGGGTCACCGCCTCTTCCATGATTTTCTTCACCTGCAACAATAAAAAAACGAATTAAATAATTTTAAACTAACCTTTCATCTGTGATAATTGACATATTGTATCAATCTTTAAATATATTTGAGTTTTGAGAATTCTCAATATGTGCTTTCTGTTTGTAATAACATGCTTTCAAATCACCGGTTACTGTTTTAATTTTTTTAGAGTAAATACCTGTCTAACAATATATATTTCTCTAATAAACTTAACACATTTGAAGAACTATTCTACTGAAACAATTAACGCTAAGTGCGTTTAACAATACATCTGGTATGCTGCAAGTAGGGCGGAAGATCATCAAACAAATTATCACTTTTTCTACCCGAATTTTCTTACCATTTCTCTCTACGGGTCACTTATAAGTTTTAATTATTTTTTACTAGGCTGTCCGGGTGACGCCGCGTCCATGGCGAAGGTGCCAATGGCGAAGGTCGAAGGCGTCCATGGCGAAGGTGCCATGGCAAAGGTGCCATGGCGAAGGTGCCATGGCAAAGGTGCCATGGCAAAGTGCCCATGCAAAGGTGCCATGGCAAAGGTGCCATGAAAGGTGCATGGCAGGCATGGCAAAGGTGCCATGGCAAGGTGCCATGGCAAAGGGGCCATGGCAAAGGTGCCATGGCAAAGGTGCCATGGCAAAGGTGCCATGGCAAAGGTGCCAATGGCCAAAGGTGCCATGCAAAGTGCAATGGCACAAAAGTGCCATGCAAAGGTGCCATGGCAAAGGTGCCATGGACGCGTCACCCGGACAGCCTAGTAAATACTGACTCCGGCCGCGGAAGCCTCGCTTTGAAGTTTTAATCAGTGAAAGAAGGTGGTATGTACCAAAAGCATGAACTTTAGTAACAAAAGTAATATTTGAATCATTCGAAAAATCTTCCAAAAGTAATTTGTTCGCACAATAATCTTATGGAGTACCATTTGCGCATTAAAAATTTCGAAATTTTCTTACAAATTACCCATGGATATCCTTACTTTTAACTGAATTTTAGGATATAACATCTGTTTTAATTACAGTAAAATCTACCTTGCAATAAAAGATTGTCATGTTATCCTTCGAGAAGTATGATATAAATGTATTACTGATGATAACAATATTCCATATTCCATAAAGATTCAGAGTGAATGAGTAGTATTCATAGTGTGATCCACGCTTTCAAACTTACTGCATATTTCACTTATTACACATACAAGCCATCGCGGTTTAGCTCATTGGTCAGCGTGCTCGTTTTCCATGACGCGACCCCGGGTTCTATTCCGGGCGGGCAAGACTATTGTGTGCGGTTTCCTTGCAATGTCCCAGTATATGTTGCTATGGGACGATGAGAAACCCCATTTCTCAGGTTGAGAAGACCAGAATACGGCGTGCAGAAATCTTACTGTTAACCACACGTACCTCCTTAACCTATGGCCGCGAGACCAGGACGCTGGTGGTAGGCCCGTTCGCGGGTACCACCTACAGACATACACTACTACATAATTGAAAGCAATTATAGTAGAATGGCGTATTAAAAAAATGAAAATGTTTCGATAGAAAGAAAGTGTTGGAATTCTTGTCATTTTTGTTAAAATGACTATTAATTATTTTCATCAATGTAAATATTCTAACTTCATTTTATTAAATCAGCTATGATTTTTCTGTTAATTTGTAGATTGAAAACTACAATTTTTGGCTGGAAAATTATTGTGGCTACAACCTAACTTTTATTCTTGCATTACTGAGAAAGGTAATGTATTAAACATTCCGATCAGTGTTTTTAATAAAGAAAATGAGCCTCGCAAGTTTTCGATATCGAATCTATACAGCAGTGGACTATTTATTCGAATTATGCATTGACACATGCGTCGTTATTCTCTCTCTCTCTCAGCCCGTAATATCGGTAATTCTACAGCAACCGTGAGGACACTTTTAATGATGCTGGATGTACGCCAGATTAACATTGAAGTTTCAGGACAGATTAACGAAAAAAATTGCCTTTTGACATTGCATACTAGCAATACCGAATTTGAGATTAGTTTCCAGATAATGCAACGGAATATAAGCAGCATTTAGTGTCAATAGTGATATATTTCACGTATTAAATCAATCCATGAATCCTATAATGATGAACTACACTGATGAAATAAATCCAGTCTCCTTTTATTTTTCTGTAGTACAAGGAAAACACAACATCACACTTGAACGGCAAGCTGTAAATAAATTATCGACAAATACAATAAAGAATGCAATTGAGAATTGGACATTTTTGGCCACAGAGAAATATATTGTCATTTATTTCACCTTTTTGAAGTACATCAGCGATTGAATTTACTCTTCTCTATGCGCAAAGTTGACCTTGCACGTGGAATTCTTTTTCTTTTTGTCTTGTGGTTTGAGAATCTGAGCATACTTCTGTTGAATTTTATATAATTTCAAATTACAGTATATTAGAGAGGGTATTATAGGAGTTCATAATAAGCCCTACAGAATCAAATGTAGTTCGTTTTGACTCCACTCGTTTTTTGTGACGTCTTCTCGGGTGTCTGGGTGCTGTAATTTACTTCTTTGTAGGATGATGTGCGGTCGCCATGTCGTGGTGTCTGCGATGTCTTTTTCTCGCAGCGCTCTGTGGCTTTCTATTTCCACGAACTTCCACGAAGTGCAACACTGATCCAAGTAATCGTGGATTTTGAGAGTGGATTATCCAGCAAAACTAATACTGTAAAGCTGAGATTTTAGATGAGGGGACAAAAATGTCTTGATGAGCTCTTTCAAATACCAATAGAAATCTTACGTGTTATCGTTTTCTTCTTGAATAAGAGCACTTGCGTAACGTAGTACCGTTCACATTGGCATTGAAAAGAAAAATAGACGTCGTCTATCTCGGGCGAAATTTGTGTTAAATACTACATTTAACTTTTGAAAATATGGAGTTGGTTCTGCGCATTCAAACGTAGCATCTCTTTGTTACCACTGGAACAATGCGCTCTATACGCCACTTATTTACCGATAAAAACTTAGGCGCGACTACAGTCACATCGTGATGTAACCAACTTTTTGAGCTGTTACAATATACCTGCAAGGTGGGGAATAAAAATTACTATTCAAATGTCTATGCCGATACGTCATTCCCTGTGCGCATTCTGTGTACGCGCCTGTCGATTTCAAATTTGCAACTTTATGTTTTTATTTCCGTTCACAAACATGCACACTATAATCAGATTGGACTTGAGGAAATACTTATTGTATTAACTACATTTATATATATAGTAATTACTGTCATCCGCTGAATGCTGTTATAGCTATTATAGCTGAATAGCATAAAATATATGCTATTTATCCATCCATTATACCAGTTCTTTCATTTAGTCAATCAATCAAAAGTCGCACACAACTAAATTATCTGTTCACTCGAATACTTTCAATTTATTCCAATCCCATGTTATTCACGACTTGCGTCTACGAACGAATTCAGGACTTTCGTCTACGTGTAGAAGTTATTTAAATCGGATCGGCTCTGGATCGCCGTGAAAGTTGAAATTACACTTCAAAGAACCGCTCAAAAGGGACGCGTTTCCATAACGAGGGCTGGGTGGCCGCAAAGTCTACCTTTCGCTTCCCAAGCGTCGTAACGAGCTGCCGCCCCTCTGCCCGCTCGGCCATTCCTTTGGCGGGCAGACACATGAATAAAGATCTCCCACAAATATAGTTCACTACTAAATGAAATCCAAAATGCGTCGCGTTACACTACTAAATCTAAGCCAAAATCTAATAATTCGCTGGATTCGCGACTCGCGGTTTTTCATATTTTCTGACACGCCGGTTTACTCAGCCAACCAGTGCCCGCCTTTCCCATTTCTATGTGTGTCCAGTCCAGGGCCAAGGGATTTCCGAACGCCGCTGTTAATTATTTTGTCTGATTAATGATTTCGGGCGCGCCAACTCCTAAGGTCATTAATCCCGTAAGTGTATCGCAAGTTCTTATCCCAAGAGTTGGCAGTGGTCTTTCCCCGCTGGATGGCGAGATCCATTCCGGCGTGCGTCGGCTTGCGCGGATTTTCCCAGACCAGGTATCTCCTGCCAGTGCGGCAGCGCCTCCTGTCGGGACACGATGTAAGCTCCCGACTGTACTCCCCACTTGTGTGGTGGAGTGCGAGTACGTAACGGGTGAGGAAATGGCAAGGAAGGGAAGAAAAACTCACGAGTGGTTCGTGGCCCATTTGTTAGGCTCCGAAAGACCCCTCTTGTTGATCGGAGACATCTCGAAAAACTATCGATCAGAGCAGCAGACCGCTAGAATTGTCATCTAGTCAGCGTCTGAATTCGGCCTGGCTATGTAGCTCGTGTCGAAAATCCTGATACCTTCGGGACTCGAACTCGAGAGTCTCCCGGTCAGAGACACTGCAGTAACATCAGTTGATGCCTTGAGCTCCCGTTGTGTTTCAAGGACATTCAAAATTACTCTTCAGAGGGCCACTCTAAAACGGTGTGTTTCCATTCCGAGAGATGCGTGGGAGCGCTTCTCGAAACGTCAACAGTTTACCTCTCAATTCGTCGTAACAAGATACAATCGCCTACAGACTGCTCCACTCACGCTCTGGGGGAAGACGGGTACCCACGACCTCTGCCAAGAGGTTCACTAGTGTCAAGAGCCACGAGTCGCAATTGTTTCTACCCCGGGAGATGAAACCGGGAGAGATGGCTCTACGCATCAACTGATGTGCACATAAATGAAGTGCCTTTGACCGGGGGGTCGTAGATTCGAGTCCCGACGATGGAAGGATTTTCGACACTAGCTGTATATCATATATAGAAGTTACTTTAGCGGCCGGCTGTTCCGATCGGTAGTTTTCCGGGGATTCTCCGATCAATACCAGTTGAATACCGGAGTAGTACCTTAACAAACGGGTCATGGAACGTGCGTAATTTTCCCTTCCCTTTCCTTCCACTCTTTAGACACACACACTTAAATGCAATACACTTACACACATGTAGGGAGACCGGCAGGGAGCTTAGA